CACAAAGACAGGAAGGGCTTTGGATATGGACACTACCACCAAGACCATCATTTCTTATCCATTCTAGGTATTTCTAGTAGGGAAATAGCAACTGTTCTGCAGGTATTGTTGCTAAGAGTCAAAAGAGGCCAGAGAAGCCAGCAACATTTCAGCTAGGGCAGAATGGACACATAGCAGGAGCTGCAGACACTGCCAACACTTACATTTTGGAGGTCTGTGGTAGCGAATGCTCATGCAATTCATGAAATGAGAAATGAATTGGAACAAGAACCACAGGAGCAACATAACCTTCGAAACTCAGATGCCAAGGGAGCCTCATGCTTCCAGTCTAAGACGATCTACCTTATCCCTTAGCTACAGAGGATCTATATGTGCTGGCTCATGGTTTTTAACTCAGTTCTCTTGATCCACATCTTGACTCTAGCTTTGTATAGGTACTTATGTAAAATTTTTATTTAGTTTTAAAATAAATTTGTATTTTTTTAGAACTTTTAAAAATTGATTTTAGAGGGGTGGGGGAGAGAGAAACATCAATGTGAGAGAGAAACACTGATTGGTAGGTTCCCTGACCAGAATGAACCGCAACCTGGGTATGTGCCCTGACTGGGAATAGAACCCAGTGACAATGACGCTTCAACCAATTGACCCACACCAACCAGGACTGGAAACTTTTATTAATGAGTACTTGTGATTATGACTTTAAGAGAACAGGAGGAAAGACCAATCAGAAATTTTTATCATAAGGACCAAAAAATAATAAAGTGTCATTAAAATCTGTCCTGTGCCCTAGCCGGTGTTCAGTGTTTAGAGCATCGGCCGGCACACCAAAGGGTCATGAGTTCGATTCTGGTCAAGGGCACATACCTGGGTTTCAGGTTGGATCCTGCCCTGGTCAGGGCATGTGTGGGGGAGACAACTGATTGATGTGTCTCTCTCACGTTGATGCCTGTCCCCGCCCCCACCTCTCTTCCCCTCCCTCTCTTCCACTCTCTCTCTCAAAAAAAAAAAAAAATCAATGGAAAAATATATCCTCAGGTGAGGATTAACAAAAATAAAAAAATCTGTCCTGCAATTCCATCTACATTTATTTTCTTCTTAACTTTTTCTAGACATTGATCCCATTCAAACTGGCAGCCACAGGAGAGCATTTCTAGGAAGGGGTTTCAAATAAAGAAGAGTGTGAGGGAAGAATTAATACAGGGGAAGAAAGACAAGGGAACATTCATTCTTTGTATAGCAATCACAGTCAGTTTTCAGAATTTTTCTTCAAAGAATGCCAGTTATTAAAACTATATGCCATCATGCTCCTTGGACTCTAGCACCTAAAACAGTCACTTTAATCACTAAATTTTATTATTGATTGATTGATTCATTCATTCAACAAACATTAATTGTACACTTACCATGTGCTAAATTTCGAGAATATAGAATCAACCATATGTGGTCTCTGACCTCAAAGAGTTTACAGTCTAGTATGGATGACAAATATGGATATAAATAATTACACTGAAATCAGACTTGTGCAAACTGCACAGAAGGACTGAAGATGGAGTGGTTAATTCCACCTGGAAGAGGTCAGAAGGCCCCATAAAGCACTTTAAAAAAATCATCAGATAGAGAAGTCGAAAAGGGCATTCCAAGAGGGAAGGATACATGTATGTGCATGGAATGTGATCATGTATTTTAAAAATTAAAAGTTAACTAGTAAGGCTGGACACATCACAAGGACTCTGCCAGCATAAAACATTTAGATATTAGTTGTAAGCTCTGGGGAGATTCTGAAAAAGAGTGACATAATCAGACAGTAGGAAGGCCAATCTAGCAGCAAAGTAAAGTATGAGTTGGATGGGAGAAACTAGAAACCAGTAATCCCATTAACAGGCAATTAAAAACAATCTGAAAGATGAGGGAGGGCAAGATGGAGTCAGAGAAGGAATGGATTTGAGGAACCTTTATCTTTTATTTTTTTAAATATATTTTTATTGATTTCAGAGAGGAAGGGAGAGGGAGAGATAGAAACATCAATGATGTGAGAGAATCATTGATTGGCTACCTCCTGCACGCCCCCTACTGGGGCTCAAGCATATGCCCTTGATGGGAATCAAACCCGGGGACCCTTCAAGTCGGCAGGCTGAAACTCTATCCACTGAGCCAAACCGGCTAAGGCAGATTTGAGGGACTTTTAGAAGGGAAAAGTCTTGGTACTTGGGATACAGCTGAATGTTGGGGGTAAAAGGGAAGTATAATCTGGGGGGGAAGATGCATGGCAGTATTCCACTGTGTAAATGTACCACATCTTCTTTATCCATTCATCTACTAATGGGCACTGGGGCTGTTTCCAGATCTTGGTTATTGTAAATAACATGGCAGTGAACATAGGGGTGCATGTTTTCTTTCTGACTACGTGGCTGTAAAGAAGAAGGAACTTTGTGACAGCATGGATGGACATGGAGATTATTATGCTAAGCAAAATAAGCCCGTCAGAGAAAGACAAATACCATATGATCTCATATGTGGAATCTAATGAACAAAATAGGACCAGAGCATGGATACATGGAACGGACTGGCAGATCTCAGAGGGGAGGGGGAATGGAAGAGATTAACCCAAGAACACATATGCATATATGCATAGCCCATGGATGTAGACAATGTGGCGAAGGCCAGGGGGAGGAGGGGTGAAAGAGGGTAGAGGTGGGGGAAATGGAGGACATCTGTAAGTCTGTCAACAATAAAAAAAAAAAAAGATGCATGACAGTACTATTAACTAATATAGGGATAGAGAGGTGAGTTATGTCATACTTTAAAATGTTTATTGGTTGCCTTTATGTATCAAATACTAGAGATGCAAAAATAAATTAGATCCAATCCCCATCTTTAAGGAGCTCAAAGTCTAGTGGGGTGAAATAGCAAAACAATTACAATAAAATGTGAAAATAATATTGCTATGTACTGAATTCTGCCCTTCCCAAATTCATATGTTGAAACCATAAACCCTAGTGTGATGCTATTACAGACAGTATCTTTAAGGATGGATTAAAGTTAAGGGACGTTATAAGAGTAGAGCCCTGACCCCATAGAACTGGTGCCTTTATAAGAAGAGGAACAGACATCAGAGCTCTCTCTCCACCATGTGAGGACACAGCAAGAAGGTAGCCATCTGCAAGCCAGGAAGAGAGCTCTCCCTCACCAAAACCTGGCCATGCTGGCACCCTGATCTTGGAGAACTGTGAGAAAATAAACTCCTGTTTTATAAGTCACTCAGTCCATGGTGTTTTGTTATGGCAACCCAAGTTAATACAAATGTTATGACACATTCTGGGTGAATTTCAAGGAAAGGGTAATCATGAAGTCAAATGCCACACAGAGGTCTAGTAACTAAAAAACAGGTTTAGTAACTAGGTCATCGATGACATTAGAGAGCAGTTTCAGTTGATTAGTAAAGAAGACTGAGTTGGATTACAGACTTTCCCCGTGAAAACGAGAGTAATGAGGGAGAGCAAGCCTTACACAACATTAAATCATGATAAAATAATTGTTACTTCAGTGTGAAATTACTATAAAAAGCATGTACAAAAAGCTCAAATAAAAGACCCCAAAACAAATCTTTGTGCGTGTGTGTGTGTGTGTGTGTGTGTGTATAAATTTAATACATAACTTTAAAAGGCATCACAAATCAATTTTAGTTTTTAAGTTCATGATCATTTGGAGTTAATTTCTGTATATGGCATAAGGTATGTGTCAAGACTGTTTTTTTTAAAATTTATTTTATTGATTTTTTACAGACAGGAAGGGAGAGGGATTGAGAGTTAGAAACATCGATGAGAGAGAGAAACATCGATCAGCTGCCTCCTGCACACCCCCTACTGGGGATGTGCCCGCAACCAAGGTACATGCCCTTGACCAGAATCGAACCTGGGACCCTTCAGTCCGCAGGCCGACGCTCTATCCACTGAGCCAAACCGGTTAGGGCAAGACTGTTTTTATATGGGTCTCTAATTACTCCAGGACCATGTGTTGAAAAGCCTGTCCTTCTGTGTTGTATTTTTTTTTCTGGTTGGGTAACCTAAACTTTCGTTCCTTTTACCATTGACTAGCCCTTTCACAGATACTGAAAATCTACTGGCCAAATATTTCTGAACTCTCTGTTTTGTTCCACTAATCTATGTGTCTATGCATTCACCTATACTGTAGTAACTTTTTAGTTTTGAAATCAGATAGTCTGGTCATCCAAATACTTTGTTCATCTTTCTCAACTTTTTCTGTATGGCTATTCCTTTTTTTTTTTTTAATAATTCTTTATTGTTAAAAGTATTACATATGTCACCTTCCCCCCTCCCCCCACTAACCCCCTCCAGCCTGTGTGGCTATTTTAATCCCTTTATTGTTCCATATAAATTTTAGAATCAGCTTGTTTATATCTACAAAAGGATTTTTATTGGAATATGATTGAAGCTATAGATTATTTGGGGAGAATGGATCATCTTAACAATATTGAGTACTCTAATCAAAAAACATGGTATATCTTCCCATTTCTTCATATGTTCTTTGATTTATTTCATCTGTGTTCTATAGCTTTCTTTTTTAAAATATATTTTTATTGATTTCAGAGAGGATGGGAAAGGGAAGGAGAGATAGAAACATCAATGATGAGAGAGAACCATTAATCAGCTGCCTCCTGCACGGCCACAGTGGGGATCGAGCCCGCAATCCGTGCATGTGCCCTGACTGGGAATCAACCTGTGACCTCCTGGTTCATAGGTCGATGCTCAACCACAGAGCTATGCCAGCCGGGCTGTGTTCTATAGTTTTCAACATAGAAACATTGCACATATTTTATAAGATTGGTTGGTACCTATGTATTTAATGCTTTTTGGTCCTACTATAAGTGGTACTTAAATTTTTTTTTCTATTTCCAAGTATTCATTGCTAGTATATAGAAGTACAATTGTGTCGGGTAACCTTGCTAAACTCATTTCTTTTTTTCTTTTTTCATTTTTTCACGTCAGACAGGTAATGTGCCAAAGGTGTTACAAGGTTCGTGGGAGGCACATCTCACACAGCAGCGTGAATACCCAATCATCACGCTTATGAACTACAAAAGGATCCCAAACTCATTTATTTAAAAATATATAATTAATATATATATATTATATATTATTTCAGAGAGAGAGGGAGAGATAGAAATATCAATGAGAGAGAACCATTGATTGGTTGCCTCTCACACACCCCCTACCAGGGATGGAGCTCAAAACCCCAGCACATGCCCTGACCCGTAATCAAACCATGACCTCCTGGTTCATAGGTTGATGTTCAACCACTGAACTACAGAGGCCGGGCTAACCTCATTTCTTAGTTTTAGTAGCTTTATTATAGATTCTTTGGGATATGCCCTATAGACAATCATGTCATCTACAGAGCAATTTTGCATCTTCTTTTCAAATCTCTATGCCTTTTCTTTCTTTTCCTGCATCTATGTTCATCAGAGATACTGATTGGAATCAGGGTAAAATAAAATGTGTTAGGAAATGTTGCTTCTCTTATTTTCTGGAAGAGTTGGTATGAAATTGTATTATTTTTTTTCTTAAGTGAATCTATCAGACTCTGGAGTTTTCCTTGATGGATGGAACATCTTAAACTACAAATTCAATTTTATTATAACTATAAACCTATTCAGCTTATCTATTTCCTCTTGAGTAAATTTTGGTAGTTTGTGTCTTTCCAGGAATTTATACATTTCATCAAAGTTGTCAAAATTATGGGCATAAAATTGTTTGTTCCTTAGTATGCGTGTAATATCTGTAAAATCTATAGTGTTGTTCTCTCTTTCATTTCTAATGGTAATTTGTGTCTTTCCTTTTTTTTCTTGGGCAGTCTGGCTACAGTTTTATCCATTTTATTATACTTTTCAAAGAACCAGTTTTCTGTTTGATTTTGTTCTAATTTTCGGTTTTCAATGTCATGGATTTCTATTCTTATATTTAATAGTTCCTTCCTTCTGCTTCCTTTGGGTTTATTTTACTCTTCTTTGTCATATTTCCCTTTTTTAAATGATATCTTAGTGTGGTTTTTAAAAAAATATATTTCATTTTAAAATATATATTTTTTATTGATTTCAGAGAGGAAGGGAGAGGAAGAGATAGAAACATCAATGATGAGAGAGAATCATTGATCATCTGCCTCCTGCATGCCCCCCACTGGGGAGCCCGCAACTCAAGCATGTGCCCTGACTGCAAATCGAACTGTGACCTCCTGCTTCATAGGTCAAGACTCAACCACTGAGCCATGCTGGCCAAGGTTTCATGTTTCTTTTTTATTGTTGTTAATATTTTTCCATTGATCTATTATAGAGAGTGGAAGAGAGAGGGAAGGATAGTGAGAAACATCAATGTGAGAGAAACACATCAATTGGTTGCCTCCTGCATGTGGGAGAAGCCTGCAACCAAGGTATGTGCCCTTGACAGGAATCGAACCCGGACCCTTTGGTCTGCAGGTCAATGCTCTAACCACTAAGAAACACTGGCCAGGACATACTTTAGGTTTTGTTTATTATTATTTTCTTAATTGCATATGTGAAATACAAAACTGGTTATGGTTAGCTTTATACTATTTGGTTTTTGAAAATTATTTACATACTTTTAGATTGGGTCTGGGTAAACTATAAAAGATAAGAAAATATGAATGTTATTAAATCAAAAGGTAAGATATAGAGTAAAACAGAAATTATGAGGCAGGGTAGATTTCCAACATGTTGGAATGAATAGGGGGGAAAATGTAATGAGTAGGCATAGAGCTGGTAAAAAATACTACCTAGCCATGACCACTAGATGGCGGAACGGTTTTGCAGGACTTAAACCGAATGACATAATAAGCAATCAAAGTTTTAAGGAAAATCCCCCCCAAAATCAAGCTTGTTACTGCAAGGAAGAACTGGAATTTTCTGTGCTATTTGGGTTGTAGGATGATTTCTGTGTGTTTGTTGTCTTAAATTTTGTTTTATTTGGTATAAATGTTTTAAGCTTGTAGTATTTCCCAAAGATATTTTAGCCTTTCTGAGTCAACAGAACAGCACCCTGCACATGGTTAAATAAATGGTACTTGAAGTGATAGAGGTGATGATGATGGTATCTTCATAGTCCTAGAAATAACTCGATACTAACTAGTATTGCTCCAGAAACAACACATTATAAAAGTGAAATTATATAAGAAAAATTTGATCCACAAAATACTAACGTCTGATCTAATATTCTAGGAGACCTTACTGAGCAATAATGAGCACTTACTGGAATTAGGGGGCCAGGACTCCCGGTATTCACTACCTGCTTGAGTTCTGGGTGACTTGCCCCGAACCTGGAGAGCCACACAAAAATCACAAGAATTATGATCAACGGCAGAACTTAACCAAGAAATTTAAATTTTAAAAGTGTGCCTAAAATATACTCTTTCTACCATTTGCCTAAAATATACATCTTCTTCCACAGTGTATAAAACTGTACATATTTATTCTAACAATAATGCACATTTATAAAAGGCTTTCTAATTTTCAAGCATTTCCCATATATTGCCTCATCTAATGCGAGCTCATTCAGGGGAGAAGGGGAAGGGAAATAAGCAGTAAAGAGAGAGCTGTGGGGCCAAGCACCACAATTCCTTCGATAGTTAAACAGTTTCTAGGAGTGAGAGTTAGCATGAACTCCCTCCCCGGATTGTCAAACCATGATGAAAAGGAAAACCAAAGAGAAAAGCAACTGCAACCTTCGGCAGGGTCTCATCCTTTAGCACTGCCTTCCTCTAGATTAAAATGGACAAAGTTAAGCTTCTTTGGGAGCTTGCCTAAGAGAAACAGCAGAGAACGAGGATTACCCGTTTTTCTTGCTTCTGCTGGGTCTCCATGACATGCAGGCGCTCCATGAGGCTGGAGATGCCCTGCTCCAGGCTGTCGATGGTGTGGTGCTGAGGGTCGTGGCCGCTGAAGCTGTTGCGCAGGCTGCGGAGAGCATCACGAACGAGCTGCAGGTCGCTGGTCTGTGGGTGAGAGTGAGGTGCTGCAGGCATGCTGCAGGGTCATGTCATTAACCATATCCTGGCCACTGGGCTTAAGAAGACATCGGGGAGGAATTTCCAGGATAGATCTTTTATTTTTGAGGGAGGAGGTGTGGATTATAGGAAATGGTCCTCCACAGAAGCAGGCCTACTGTTTCCCACCAATTCTTCATTTCGAGTAACAAGTGCCTCAGATCTTTACACACCCAACAGATGCAAGAATAGGGAAGTGGGATACAAAAGGCGAGCCCACTGGTGATGGCTAAGGTGCTCTTCTGGTTTCAGCTGGAAGTGGCAGGTCTGCACTCAAATCTTAAGCACCTACCCCTCTAGGAGTGATTGAAGCGGCTCCTTTTCCTGCCGCCGGAGGGAGAAAACCATTGCTTTGAGAGCTGTGACTGTTGTAATTGGTCACCTACAGCAGCAAGAAGAAATGATGCTTGTTGTGAGAGAATTCCAAACCAAGATGTCCTGTCTTACTTTTCTTCTTTACATTTGTCACTTCCTGACATAGTTTATAATTATATAATTATATATATGTTTCATATCTCTATTAGAATGTACAGGGCTTTTTCCCCCTTTGTTCATCGCTGCATCCCCTGTACTTGACCCTTCACAGGCACTGCTGAATGTAGAATAAACAAAAGGGAAACCTCAGCTTGGAAGCCCCCAACCTAGACTCTGCCTGGCCACTGGAGGGCCTGAGAATGCTGCTACAGCACCTCTGGCCTTGGCTTCAGTCATTTAAAAATAAAAACAATGACTTCCCTCCCTCCCTCCCTCGCTCCCTCCCTCCCTTCCTTCCTTCCTGCCTTCCTCCCTTCCTTTTTGAAATATCTTTTTATTGATTTCAGAGAGAGAGGAAGGGAGAGGGAGAGAGGGATAGAAACATCAATATTAAGAATCATTGATGCCCTAACCCAGTGATTCTCAACCTTCTGGCCCTTTAAATACAGTTCCTCATGTTGTGACCCAACCATAAAATTATTTACGTTGCTACTTCATAACTGTAATGTTGCTACTGTTATGAATCGTAATGTAAATATCTGATATGCAGGATGGTCTTAGGCGACCCGTGAAAGGGTCGTTCGACTGCCAAAGGGGTAGGGACCCACAGGTTGAGAACCGCTCCCCTAACCGGTTTGGCTCAGTGGATAGAGCTTTGGCCTGCAGACTGAAGGGTCCCAGGTTCGATTCTGGTCAAGGGCATGTACCTTGGTTGCGGGCACATTCCCAGTAGGAGGTGTGCAGGAGGCAGCTGATTGATGTTTCTAACTCTCTATCCCTCTCCTTTCCTCTCTGTAAAAATTCAATAAAATTTAAAACTTAAAAAAAAAACTTAAAAAGAATAAAAGAATCATTGATCAGCTGCCTCCTGCACGCCCCCTACTGGGAATCGAACCAGTAACCCGGGCATGTGCCCTGACTGGGAATTGAACTGTGACCTCCTGATTCATGGGTCGATGCTCAACTACGGAGCCACACCAACCACGTAATGACTAACTTTTCTTGATCCTGATTCTGAGCCAGGTGGATCTACCAGGACTATGTTTAGTCATCTGCCTGGATTATTATTTTTTTTAATTTAAACTCTTTATTATTGAAAGTATTATATATGTCTCCTTTTTCCCCCCATTGACCTCTCCCCAGACACTCCCACCCCCCATACCTGGGTTATTTTATGTATTCTTCATAATGGCAGAGAGGGCCACTATTATTTCCATTTTCCAGATGAGCCTTATTTCTAAGGTTCAGAAGCAAGTAAATTAAAGTCACACAATGGTCAAAAGTGGTAAAGATGTACCAATGTTACACCAATAAAGTTAATTTTAACAAGTGGTAAAGATGTACCTGAAACCAGATTTTCTTATCCTGGAATCTGCATTCATAACCCCCTCACCAAATAACCTCCTAAAAAACTGACCTTTGGCCTTGGTTCCGTCCTGATTCAGAAACAAAACCCCCCTCTTTGCCCTTGTAAATGTGGGAGGGAGACCCCGAGTTGGAGGTTACCTCATCTGCCTCTCTTTTCATACAGTGAGCCAAAAGGACATCCTTGTGTTC